TTCGGACAAATAAGAATGATAAAATGCAGCCAGTTCCACACGAAGTGGACCTAGTGTATATTCCCTATACTGTAACATAGATATCATTATTGTTTCATAATACTGTTTGTTGAAGGAGATCCTGACTCATTTTTCATTATCGCTCGTTATTTTAATGTGTTTATGTAACAAAATTCTCATTGATAAAAAATTAATGTTACAATAAGGCATTAACGATGATCACCATAATTAATCTGATATGTATGTGGTCGCGTTGTTTATATTAAATCTCTCATCCGTTTGTTGAGTATATGACATGTAAAGAACTAAAGTAAGCATAATTTTATTCATATGGTTGTCTTACTTCTAAAACGGAAGTAATTTTAGAAGAATTAAGCGATATTTTAGAATTACACTACAGAAATAACAAATTAGGTAAAGCAGCATCTCGATAAAGTATGACTAAACATGCATGAAAAATCATATCTAAATTGATATACCAACTTTCTAACTATTGACAATAAGGTGCATGGTAGAGGAAAGCAAAACCTGTTCAAAGGTATGGGAGAGGTGAAATATCATACTTGTCTATGAAAAAATGGGAATCTGTAAAAATTAATGTAGGGAGGGGCCCGTGTCCAATCATGCATCACCTCCCTTCTTGCTGACGCCACTTTTGACTAATATCTGTGTCTCTAGCAAAATGTTGTTTGTTGTGTACAACAAACCATTTCTTTTAAAAGTAAGAAAATTTGAAAAATAAGCAAATGTTAAACACAGGAAGAATGTATTTACACAGAGAAAGAACGCAACTGAATCTATTTTTGTAAATTGTTGATTCATGCAACACAGTGAGCTTTTAAAATTATAAGTTGATCTTGTTTATCTAGCAGTCTTAAGGTTTACTTTTATTGCATTCTTTACTGTTGTATCTACAGTTGTTTTATTGATCATAAGTAGTTATAAATGCGTGCAGTTGATGTTTGAAATGTATTCATAATTTACAATGGTTTATTCAATAACAAAGGTTTGTTATAATAAGAACTGATTTATGCAAGAATATACATGTATGGAATTTTTGATTAATGAAGGGAAAAAGTCCATTCACAATTTCGAAAATCCTGTCTTAATCATTGGCATTCAAATCCTGTATTAATACCGATGAATTTTTCTTTATAAACTATACTTGTCTATGGAAAAAACGGAGATCTGTAAAAATTTATGTAGGGAGGGGCACATTCCAATCATGAATCACCTCCCTTTTTTTGCTGACGCAACTTTTGATTAATCTATGTGTGTCTAGCAAAATGTTGATAGTTGTATACAACAAATCATTTCTTTTAAAGGTAAGGAAATTTTGTAAAATAAGCAAATGTTAAACACAGGAAGAATGTATTTACACAAAGAGGAAGAACGCGATCGAATCTATTTTTGTAAAACGTTGATTCATGCAACACAGTGAGCATTTAAAATCATATTTTTTGTTATGTTTGTTTAACAGTTTTAAGATTTACTTTCATTGCATCCTTTCTGCTCTATCTACAGTTTTTTTTATTGAGCATATAAATAATTACAATTGCTTGCAGTTAATGTTTGAAATGTATTCATGATTTACAAAGTTTTATTCAATAACAAAGATTTTTTATAATATGAACTGACTTATGCAAGAATATACATGTATGGAATTTTTGTTTTTTGTAGGAAAAAAATCCATTCACAGTTTCGAAAATCGTGTCGTAATCATCGGCATTTAAATCCAGTCTTAGATAGGTGATTCTCTATTCCTGAGTTAAAACTTGTGAAACTTTATAAGATTTAGCAGTAGTCCTTTGGAATTTGACTAATCTCAATGTTATTATGTATTCTGCATGAGGTTCTCATTTATGTATTTTTGTTTCTATAACAATTGTTTTTAGTCAGTGATGTATACTTAGTTATATAACTGAGATGTTCTACATAGATGTCATAAATGTTTTATAATATTGTTTGTTGAAGGAGATCCTGACTCACTCTTCACCTTCGTTCGCTATTTAAATGTGTTTATGTAACAAAACTTACATGGATAAAAGATTGATGTAACAATAAGGTATGAATTATGATCATCATTTTTTAAACTGATATATGTATGCGGTCGCGTTCTTTATATTAAATCTCTCATCTTTCTAAGATATGTGACGTGTAAACAACTAAAGCTAGCATGCTTTTGTCTACACAGTCGCCATATATGAAGTCTTATTTCTAAAACGTAGGTAATTTGTCGAAAGTAAAGCGAGATTCTGAACCTATATTACTAACTTTGCATAACAAATTTTCTACTAAAGCATCTCAATAATGTATGACTAAACATTCAAGTCAAATCATATTCAAGTTGATATACCAACTTTCTAACTATTGACAATAAGCTGCATGGTAAAGAAAAGTAAAACCTGTTCAAAAGTATGGGGTAGGCAGAATAACATGAGAATATTTTCTATATGTAGGATGCTGAATTTTTCTTTATTAACTGTAACTGACACTAGTGCCAGTTCTCAAGATTCGAAACAATATTGTTGTTATTGTAAACTTACGAACTCGTAATCTATTAGTACTTCTAACTCTTTATCGAAAATATACAAATCATTGCGATCTGGATATAAACGTGAACAATCGGTAATGATACTTTACTTATATTCTGTTGTTTTGTTTGTTGTTTGTGCATTTCCTATCTAATTCTAAGTACATTTTCTGTATGTATCTAGTTGACATCTACCATCAATAATACCAAATGTTGCATGCGGGTGCCAGAACATTTATGCTGCGGGAGTTATACAAACTATACTTGTCTACAAAAAAAAATGGGAATACGTGAAATTTTATGTAGAGGGGAGGGGGGGAACATGTCCAATTATGCATCACCTACCTTCTTTGACGACGCCACTTTTGACTGAATTCTGTGTGTCTTGAAAAAGGTTGATGATTGTATTGAACAAACCATTGATTTTGAAAGTAAGGTAATTTGCAAAATAAAACAAATTTTACACAAAGGAAAAATGTATATACACAGAGGAAGAACGCGACAGAATTTATTTTTTGTAAAATGTTGATTCATGCAACACCGTGAGCAATTGTACTTTGATTCAAATTATACTTTTGATTATGTTTGTTCAACAGTTTTAAGGTTCACTTTTGTTGCATCCTTTACTGTTGTATCAACAGTGTTTATTATCGAATATATAAATAATTACATTTGCTTGCAGTTGATGTTTAAAATGTATTCATGATTTACAAAGTTTTATTCAATAACAAAAAAATTTTATAATGTGAACTGACTTATGCAAGAACATACATGTAAGGAATTTTTGATTAATCAAGGGAAAATCCAATTACAGTTTCGAAAATCGTGTCTTAATCATTGACGTTCAAATCCTGTCTTAGAGAGGTGATTCTATATTCCTCAGTTAAAACTTGTAAAACTTTATAAGCAAATCAATGTTTATTTCCATTCCAAATGAAAATCGTTTGAATGATTCTATAAGTGGCTTTTAAAGCTATATTTAATACCACGACTGGAAAGTAGGTATCATTTTTTGTTTCAAATTATCCACTATAAAAATTGCGGCTCTTACACGCAGAAAAGATTTGATAATAAATAATTCTGAGTCAGTGATGCGCTTGACATTCACAGATGCCACGTCATAATGTGACATTTCTTTTTAAATATAATTACACTTTAGTAAACAATACAATGTATAAATGTAAAGTAAAGATTATGTTCAAGTGGTCAAAATGAACGCCAGATAACGTACATATTTCATCATCATTCATTTTGCACGTAATTTATTCTTGGATGAATATTGATTTAGCATGTATACTAAGAAACTGAAATCAAAATACTTGTTTTGTTTTCGAACGTGTTTAACTGTTTTAGTTACTTGAATTAAATCGTGTAACAACACAAAGTCGAGATACTTCACTGACTGTCAGGCCAGGCCATCGTGAGGTGATAGGCAAGGGGGCATTTTGCCTTGGGCCAGTAATATAATAGAGGCCGGTGCCTCCCCATTTGGACACATGAAAATTACAAAATTAAAGTTCATAGAAAAAGTAGTGAATGATTTATGTATTGTTTGTACTTTTCTTACGTTATCTCGTCATGCAGAAGACATTCATCAAGTTATACTGTATTATAGACGTCAAGTTATACTGTATTATATCAATAATATAAATCATCATCAGTTAGTTTTGTGGGTAGCCGCTGTGCATGCGCGGCTAACCACTATGCGCCTTACTGAAAAAGTGTCTGAGTGAGGCAGTGAGGCAGGCAGTGTTTGTTCGTCGTGATATTCTCGGCTGTGTCATCGTTGATAGTCGCATATGTGAACGATCACGAATAGAATTGTTTTAAGTAAAGACAATACTTATGTTGTTCTTCAATTACTTATGCTTTCGAGCGTATAATCTGCACTTTGTTTTAGTAACTATAGTCAAAACCTCGCAGCTGAAAATATCATTCATTTATACGTTTTACTGGTGATTACAGACGTCAAATATATCTCGTTTCGGCAAAAAATACAAGAAACTTGATACTCGGTGCAGTCCTGACTTTTATTTTGTTCGGTATTTTATTCATATGTCGCGTTGTTTATCTCTCATTCTGTGTTCTGTGTTTTGGTGAGGAAAATGTAAAGCAGATAGGAGATAGTTTTCTTTATTTTCATTTCAATTAGTAATGATGACGATTTGGATTTAACAGATTGTCAAAAATGACGAAGAATTTTAATATACGATTAGAGTCAAGCTATTGTCCTATGGGGACTACTGTAGTTTAGCGGGAACCTTGGACGCTGACCCAAACCCTACCCTATAATCACAAGCAAAGACGAGCCCGCGGTCACAAGCGCTTGGGGTGTTCGCTAAACTGCAGTCTAGCAAAAATTTTAATTGGAACAGAATCATCAGCAATATAGTCCACTCAAAATGTTAATCAGCATATATTCATACAACACAACAAACGAGTTTGATATATCCTGTTAAAAGAATGATGTATCTCTTCACCATAGAATTCTTAGACAAATAAGATTAATATAAATTTTGCCATTCCACCTACTAAGTTAAACTACTGTAATTTTCTCGCACCCATCGAAAAATTCTTCGCCGCAACTCATAATGAAAGCATCTATGAACACTCTGGTTTTCAGTATAAATCCGTAAAAACTCGAATGAATGGCATCGCACTATCTGGTCTTCGCAGCTACAGCCGTCTTAGTTTTATATTTTTAAAAGAGGAAATCAACGTTCTAAATGACATGAAGAATGACAATAGTATTGTTGTCATGAAACCTGACAAGGGCAATGACGTTGTCATCCTTGATAAAACCGACTACAATAACAAAATTTCAGAAATCCTCTCCGATTCCTCAAAATTTGAACTCATAAACGAAGACCCTGTGAAAGTCACCCTACAACGTGAAACCCAGGTGAAATCATTACTCAAACAACCCAAGAAAACGAAATCAATTGATGAACAAACTTACAATAAACTCTATCCGACTGGCTCACGCATAGGTAAACTATATGGACTTCCAAAAATTCACAAACCAACCATTCCCTTACGACCCATTCTATCTTCTATAAATCACTACTCATATAAACTAGCTAAATTTTTCATTCCGCTGCTTACACCCATCTCCAAAAACTCTTTCATGATTAAAGACTCATTCTCCTTCGTACAAGAAATACTTAACAGCAACATCAACTCTAACAAAGTTGTTATGGCTAGTTTTGACATAACTTCTCTTTTCTCCACCATTCCCCTACATGAAACAATCAATATCATCTCTGATCTTCTTTTCACTAACCATAAACAGCATTACATTAACCATCAACACTCCAACATCACTTTTACCTCTGAGACGGAAAATAATGGACGACTACCGTTTTTAGACAATGACATTACCGCTCAAACGACAAATTCACCACCTCTGTATATCGTAAACCCACATTCACCGGTCTTTTCACAAATTTTCACATATTTATCCCACTTTCTTACAAAAGCAACTTAATCTTTGGCCTATTACACCGCTTGTTCAACCTCAGCTCTAGTTATGAGACTTTTCATGCCCAAATTGAAACCACCAGAAAACTACTCAAACTCAATTGCTATCCAACTAATATGTTCGACAACATTTTCCGTGTTTTCCTTGAAACAAAATTCGAAAAGAAACCATCTGTCCTTAGTGTCCCAAAGAAAATAGTGTAGTTATGTCTCCAATTCACCGGCTGTCACTCATCACAAATATGCACACAAATCAATCGTCTCTACAACGGTGCTTTCCCTCATCTCAATGTCAGATTCGTCTTTCGTACCCCCATACGAATTATTTAATTTTTACCGTTTAGGATAAAAATCCCAAGTCTCTGAGGATAAAATTCCCAGGATAAAATTCCCAAGTTTCTGAGATCTGGTGTTGTTTATTTATACACGTGTCGATGCTGTTCGGCGTCGTATGTGGGTCAAACCACACGCCACTTACACATCAGAATCTCGGAACACTTGGGGATCTCTCCTTTGACTGGAAAACGCTATACTAACCCATTAATGTCAAGTATTATTTCTCATAGGAACTCCTCCAACCACCCTGCTTCGCCAGACGATTTTAAAATCATCTCATCCTGCTCCGACACATTCGACCTCATGATCCACGAAAGCCTCCTTATCTCCAAACTAAAACCTTCACTTAACACCCAAGGCAGCTCCATCCCTCTTAAGCTTTTCTAGTCTCAACACCTCACTCTAACTATACATCACATCACACCTACACATTCACAGTAACCTGATACCTCAAACTATGTAAATAGCACTAAATATATCTATATTCCTGTTAACTTCCTAATTAGTCTGAAGATGTCTTGAGTAAAGACGAAACGTCACTCTTTTAATACATTTCATAAGACCAAATTGTTTATGACTATGTTTAAAATTATTTGTTGGGCTCTAATATTTATATTGAGAATCCGTTTCCCGCCTGGCACCTCATTGGCAACAATATAAATAAGATTTATTATTTATTTACTAGGAGTTACTTATGCAAGGTAGTTGCTGCCTCTTGCGCTAAGTTTGCTAAAATTTTATCATTTTAAGTGTTTTTTCATTGTATCAAGTCTACTATTTTATTGCTTTAATGTAAGATTAATTACTGGGTCATGTCACTAGGCAGTGAATACAACTTTAATCGAGAGAAAGAAATGAAGCACACAAGTCTTTATAAATTACTTGTAGTACTATTTTTAATTTATCCTTTTAACTTTTGTGAACATTTTGTACATTTTAAATTATACTTTTTTTCACAAAATCATTCCTCATTTCTAGAATAAAAAATGGCTTCACTACCTGAAAAATTAAAGTTTGAGGAAAATTTTACTCGTATGAGTAAACTTATAATCAATAAAAAAACCCAAGCCTTAAAAACAACATTTCAACTCATTATAAGCCATCAATCATCAAACTTAAAAGATAAACTTAATGATCATGTTAACAGAAATAAATTAGAATCATTAAGAAAGAATAAAGTCATCAGCAAGGAGCAATGGAACCTTCTTTACCGATCAAATGGCTCGCCTGACATTAAAACCTTTGATATTTCATTATTGACTGTCTTATTGCGTAGCATATGTGGTCTAACAGCGCCACATAGTGGATGGAATAATCTTCCTTCCTCTTCAGATACCTCAATCTCAGCAAACATTGCAAGAATAAAGCTTTATTGAAACAAAGTGTACGATAACATAACTGCAACTAGTTTAAATGACAGTGATTTTGAGCATTTGTGGCGGGAAATTTCAAAAGCATTGGTTGGTCTGGGTATTGAACAAACTGAAATAGATGAATTAAAGGAAGCTCCCCTCAACGAAAATGTAAAAGACTTAAGCAAAGACTTTGAAGTTATGAAAAAAAATATTTTGAAGAAATAAAAAATGAAATAGAGAAAATCAAAGAAAGCATGTCAACAAAGAAAGATGTTGCAGAAATAAAACAAGAGATGGCTGCAAAAGCGGATGTAGCCAGCATGGAAGAAATGAAACGGGAAAAAATATGCTCAGACCTCAAGCTTGGTAAGTGTAAGTTTAGTGGTCTAATTTTCCTCAAAAAGGAAACCTTCTCGATAACGAAAACCCTGACAAAATAGACACATGATAGACAAATTGTTTCTCGCAAAAAAATCATTATATACTTAATAAAATAATTGAAAACTGCAAATAATCATTTTCAATTCGGCAAAATGAAAACAATACTAGCAATCGTTTTGAAGATCGCAAATACCATGGTGAATGGTGAAAGTAATTCACTATGTTATTGGCGATCTTAAAAACGATTTTCAGATTTGTCACCACAACAAAGTCTCTATTTTAATACTACCAATGTTGCAGGAGTATGAAAAAAAGCATGAGGTAGAGTTTGAGTTTGCAGAAATAAAGATAACGAGGTTCACTTTAGCAAGGTGAATAAGAGAAACAGTACGTGTCAGATAATTTAGAGTTAAATCATAAATTGCCAATGAAACGAAAATTTTGCAACCTGTGTTATACTTTTATTGAACAGCCATTTTAATATGATAATGAGCTTCCTGTACTAGTTTAGGCATATCACATTTCATTCTTGAGATATTGAAGTTTTTATTATGTCTGATTTATCTGATGTCACATTGCATAACGACAACTAGATGTACTAATTAAATTTGTTGATACATTATTTTAACATGGTGGAGTTTCCTTCTTTGTGGTGTGTTAATGATATAAATTACTGCGTACCATTATCAACCTAAAGTTGTCGGGAGAATTGAGGGTATTTGAAACATTGAAGCGACTCATTTTGCATGCAATATTATGTCACAAGTTAGATAAATTGATAATTGCAAGGACTTCAGTATTTTCAGAATAAAAAAGTCATTCAGAAAAGGTTTTACAAAGCACTATATGATTTTAAAAGTTCTGGTCAATACAGATATGATTTAACTAGCAAAATTTTCGTTTCATTGGCACTTTAAGATGTCCAAACAACTTTGAGAGATTAATTGTTGAGATCGATCTTCAATGTTAATGTTTGGCAACAAAAGTAAGATAGTTTATCTAAAAGACGAGTGTCGAGAATAGAAAGAAAAATTGAATAAAGCTATTTGTTATCTTTTGGTATAAAGAATTTTTTAGACTCTAAAAAATATATGCTCTCAAAATTTTAATTTAATATTTTCGAAAAACGCAAGGTTACTCTTTAAGAAAAATTCATGATATTAGTGCAAAGAGAAGTTTTTGTGATTAATTGTTTGGTATAAGCTAACCTCGAATGTTACCAGTTAAAAAATTTACGAAATGTCTAATAATTGTTGATACGTTTTTTTTAAAGTGTACGGTATCAGTATCCTTTCCTAATTGGGGAAATATAAGCTATTTTAATGTATTTATTTTGTTTCCTTAACCCTTGATTATAATATTTTTATGTAGAAAAGTGGAGCTACATTGATGAATCAACGAAACATGAAGAATTGTTTTTAAAGTTGATTGAATATGTGCGCAATCCCAATTTTGAGGTTAAAGTCGTGGGCAATGTACGTGTAATATTCTTAGAAGAATTTTGCATTGGCGAGGGAAGTAATGCAACCCGTGTTTTCCTTGGACTGGGTAAGGATGGTTACGGTAAAGCAGTTAAACAAATACATCGAGATAGCTTTATCCAGCTTGCACAGCAAGAAAAGAAAATTTTGCATGATATTAATGTTAAAAGGAAATGACATCACAGTGTATAACTCTCAACTAGATTGTTAATCATGTGACCTATGTACTTGTTGTTCTGCCTTATAAAAGAGAGCACATGTTATGTTAAAATATATTCTCAATCGTTATGTTGTTAAACTCTTTTATGATTCTATCTGATGTTCGGTAAAACCTCTAAATCTAACAGGTTATGGGCCCAGAATGCTATGGTCTACATGTGAATCGAACAAGTCGACGATTTTATAAAATATTTCTATAAGTATTTTGCGGTCGAATATAAAATGAATATGGCTGAATTGAATTCGTTCAAATTTGCGAAGTTAAATGGGTCGAACTATCGGACCTGGTCTTTTAACATGCGTTTGTATTTAGAAAGCCTTGATCTGTTTGAACATGCTGAGGGTACTGCTCAACTTACGTCGGAAAGTGCCGAAGTTCGTCAGAGTTTTGCGCGTAATGCGAAGAAGGCATGGACTCACATCTGTCTGGCTATCGAACCAGAATATCAAATTCATGTACGCCATACCACAACTGCAAAAGAAGCATGGGACGCTCTAAAGAAGCAATTTGCTAGAGAATCTCTGTTACAGAAAGTGAGATTGAGACAACAATACTACGCTTGCCGTTATCGTTCAGGAGAAAGCATGTTGGAGCATATTAGTCACTTAAGAACATTGCATGACCAGCTAAAAGAAATGGGGGTAGAAGTAGATGACAAAGAATTGGCAATGACACTCTTAGCGAGTTTGCCTGAAGAGTTCAAACCCTTGATTACAGCCCTGGATGCAATAGGTGATGACTCCTTATCTAACGACAAAGTGAAAAATATGTTGTTAAATGATGTTGATCGACGACAAGACGGAAAGGATCATGAAGGAGCATTTGCTGCTGGAAGAAATATGAGAAAAGTAAAGCAACAATATGTATTTAAAGGGAAGTGTCACAACTGTCATGAAAGAGGGCATTTTGCTCGTGACTGTCCAAAGAAAAAGGTCCTCGACGACAAGAACAAGAAAAGTAATGAAAGAAAGAAAGGTGAATCTGCTAGCTGTGTAGAGAAAGAGGATGATGATAATATGGTGGAAGACGAAGCATTGTATACCTCAAGTTCATGGAATAATAACTGCTGGATTATCGACTCAGGTGCCACACAGCACATGACCTATAATAAGAGCAATTTGATTGAATATGTTCAATTTTCAAATCCATCAATTGTTAATCTTGGAGATAATAGAAGTATTCTTGCATATGGTAAAGGGATTTGCCGTAATATTGCTGATTCAAATGAAAGACCTCAGAAGATAAGTTTGCGAGATGTGTTGTATGTACCAGATCTTGGTAGGAATTTTCTTTCTGTAAGAGCCATGATAAAGCTTGGAGCATGTGTTACTTTCAAAGATGATCAATGTGAAATCTTTAGAGGTACAAAGTTGTTGGCAAGTGGTATAATGCTGGAAAAACTGTATGTATTGAAAATCATTGAAAGTAATTATGTGAATGTTGCAATAGATGATAAATTAATGTTATGGCATTATCGTTTTGGTCACCTTGGAATGAACAACGTTTCAAAATTGCTGAATGATAATATGGTTATTGGCATGGACACTACGCCTAAGGAAGAATCTCCATGTGAGGGATGCATTATGGGTAAGCATCATAAATCCAAGTATCCCAAAAGGAAGCAAAGCGTGCAACTAAACCGTTTGAATTGGTGCACAGTGACGTTTGTGGACCAATGTCGACAAATTCACTTGGTGGTTCAAAGTATTTTGTTCTTTTTATTGATGATTTTTCAAGGTACACTTATGTTTATTTCATTAAGAACAAACATGAAGTATTGGAGAAGTTTAAAGTATTTAATGCAATGGTTTTAAACATCACTGGTTGTTCAGTTAAATTTTTACGGACAGACAATGGTGGGGAATATTGTTCCAAAGAGTTTAAAGAATTTCTTAAGCAGAAAGGAATTACACATCAACTTACTGTGCCGTATAATCCCGCACAGAATGGTGTATCGGAACGAATGAATCGCACACTTGTAGAATCAGCCAGATCAATGTTATCACACAGTAATATGCCGTTACAATTTTGGGCAGAAGCAGTGAATACAGCTGTCTATCTGAGAAATCGAAGTCCGACAGTATCACTTAAAAAAGTTACACCGTTTGAATGCTTGTTCAATAAAAAACCAGATGTTTCTAATCTGAGAGTATTTGGATGCCTAGTTTACGCTCACATGCCTGCAAGTCAACGAAAGAAATTTTCAGAGAAATCAAAGAAGTGTATCTTCATCGGATATCCTGAAGGGACGAAAGGCTACAAATTGTTTGATGTACTCAGTCAAACGTTTTTTCGAAGCAGGGATGCTGTCTTTCTTGAGAAAAGATTTTACGACTTGAAAGGTAATGAAAACAAACAGTTCGGTAACTTTTACACTCCACTAGAAGAAAAGATTGATGAACCACATGAAATACCAATGGAAGAATTTGCTCAAGAAGAAAATAACGGAATTGAAAACCCAGTTGAAGCAGATCAGCACCTTCAACCAGTGGGAGCGACATATGAAGAAAATTTTTTTAGAGAAACTCAAAGCCTTCCCAGAAAAAGAATATCTAGACCTCCCAACAGATTTGATGAAGAGAATTACTTCTCACAAAGCTTGACTGCTGACATCAACGAACCATGTAACATCCAAGAAGCTTGGAATGGTGAAGACAGCAACTATTGGCGAACAGCAACTGATTCAGAGTATCAATCATTATTAGATAACCAGACATGGGAACTTGTTCCTCCTCCTGAAGGGAAGAATATAGTAGGATGTCGTTGGGTATTCAAGGTAAAGCGAAAGGAGAATGGATCTGTGGAAAGATACAAAGCAAGATTAGTGGCGCAAGGTTACTCTCAATCTGAAGGTACCGACTATGAAGAAGTTTTTTTACCAGTAGTTCGTTATGCATCAATTAGATTATTGCTGGGTGTGGCGAACATACACAAC